ACCTACACCCACACCCTACACCCACCCACCCACACCCTCCCACACCCACACCCACACCCTTATTGAGGAGTTTACAAGTTAAATAATGATAGACAAGAAGAAATGCCGTTGTAGATATTTGTTGCAAATAGAATTCATGTTGATTTAAGTTAATTGCTGTTGGCTGAAGGGAAATTCTTTTCGTTTCTCTGTTGAAGGACTTCTAATAATTCATTTGCTTCTCGAATTCGTTTCTGAAATTCTTTTTTTGAATTATCTGCATTCGAGTATTTCATTACTGGTAAGTGTTCCAATCGTAATTCATTTGCTTTCTTCAAGTATTTTAAAGCTTCTTCAAATTTATCTAGTTTATAGTATGATGCAGATAAATAACTATATGTTTTAATAAAATCAGGATGATTCGATGGTAATGAATTGTTTTGAATTTTTAAAGCTTTTTGTAAATATTGATTTTCTTCTTCATATTTTTCTTGTATAGAAAATAGTTCTGCGATGCACCAATAAGTTGTAGAAAATGATGGATGATTGTATGGCAAAATTTTTAATTGAATCTCCAAAGATTTTCGGCACATATCCATTGCTTCTGAGTAACGTTTCTGTTTTTTGTAAATCACGGCAATATTTCTATAGTCATTATTAGCATCCCAACATTCAGTCTGTTCGGGATGTTGTAAACTTATTTCCAACATTTTATTATGGTAAAATAATGTTTGTTCCAAATCGTTGTCTCTCTCATGTAGCCGAGCTCGAATACTATAGTTTACCATTACAACTGGATGATGTTCCGGTAAATGTTTCACATCTATCTCGAGCACTTTTCTATAATATTCTTCAGACTTATCTATATCTCTGATTGCACTATATATGTCTCCGAGTTCATTGTAAATGTAAATACGTGCAATAAAATCTTCCATAAGCTGTGAGTCTTGCATAGCTATGTTTAAAAAATTTATTGCTCTATTATACTGAGCCATTTCGAATAGTAGTCTTGCTAAATGAATTTCAGGCGTAAATGTACCCAGACCACCTTTCATATACTCAATTAAATTCATTAATTCTTTGTCTTCTTCACCAGTTAGTTTCAAATGAATATACCACATATTAGTGGCAGTTGATTCAATTGAAAGTATACGAAAGACAGAACCCATTGTAAATAGAATTTCTCCTTCTTCTTCACCAAATACACTTTCTGTAGAGATATTAGCATAGGGAAATTTCTTTACCGATTGATTAATATCTATTTGAAACAGAATACTTTGTGTATCAACTTCACCACCATTACCAGCGAACACGGTAGCTAACTGTTTAACTGTTGTTGTCGATAGAAAATTAGTTACAGAGAGAAAGCCACCAAGATTATGTCGTATTTTACGTTCAAATTCCTCGGTTTTAATTAATTGTCCACGATAAACAGTGATTAGTTCCTCACGTTCTGCAGTTGTCTCTATTGATATTTGTTTAGAATGGAAATCTTTCAATTGTAAATGAAGATGTCTAATGAAATATCTCAGTGAATACAATGTATCAATGTCCTGTTCTCTTAAAGCCTTATTCAGAAGACGATAGAGAAATGTATCACGCGTATACCAAAAGATAGCCTTATGCGAATTGTAATGATCTTCAAATTCTTTGATATAACGTAACTGTGCTTCATTATCAGCGTACTGCCGACGACAAAATTCAAGCATTTCTGTCTTATTTGATTCCGTAGAAATTAAAATGTCTCTTGCCAACTGTGAATACATAAATTCAGCTTCTTGTCTTTTCGCACTGGTAGTCGTATTGGTGGCTAATGAAGAAAATTCAAATGAAGTAACTGAAACGGCTGATAACGGCATTATTGTGGCTACAGTTAAATCATTGCTTGCAAAACGCCTGTAACGATATCGTTGTATACTCATTGTAAGCAGTAGTTGACTACCTAAAGAATGATAATCGGTGTAAATTCCGCGTATTTTACTATTAGTTCCAGAAGAAATTGAAGTTAATGACGCAGTTGAACACAGAATATAAATCGAATCGATTATTGATAATGATTCAACTGTGTTTATCAATGTTTCAGTCGCTTCACTCAATGATGCTAACGAAATAATCAGATAGATTTTCATGGAAATCTCTTCGATAGCAGTTATAAAATTAATACATTCGTCCCAGTTGTTACATGTTTGGAGATTATCGCCATTGATAAGAGTACGCAAATGAAGCACATTTTCCTTGTCACTGCTTACTTGATTCGTCAGCCAAACAATCAGAAACGACTCTGACATAATTTACTGGTTATATAGATTCGCCGTAAAAAGCCTCTGGAAATGTTTAGATCAATTGGTTAGTAAGGCGATTATGTAAACAGGCAACACAAAAGAGAGGGCTCACTACAGAAACGCCAAAATGTCTTTTTGAAAATTTCTCTTTCACGAAACCCAGATCCAATGACTTGGATCATTAAAGATAAGCATGTATTTCCAGCCAATTCTAATTATTTAATCGATTTTTTTAATCACACAGTTCGACAGCTTTGGTTCAGATGCCATTCAGTTGAGGAGATAAAACTTTGCAAACAATATTATTTTGAATTCATTTTAAGTTACAGTCTGTTCATTCGGCATAGAATACTTGACGAGTAAACGGTTCTAAACATTGAGGTCTTGCATAGTTTAAGTGTAGGGGTATATGAACTCAACATCCACAAACAAATCCATGCCCATCTTTCGTGAGATATTATCATAGATAGCATATTAAGTTATCGGAAATACTTGCAAAATCCCTATACAGAGGACTAGTCTTTTTTTTTCTAGTATTTTATGTCTAACGAACAGAGTGTAATTTCCAATGAACACAAAAGAATGCTGTCCTACTAAATGGCATATAAACTAGCTCTGTTGAACTTATGATTGATAGATAATTGAGTAAACATTAGATTGGGTTAAACATGTGTACTTACATTTAGTGATCAAGGTTGTTGGACCTAGATCTCTCGTGAAAGAAACATTTTTATAAGGGTACCTTTTTGATTTTCTTGGCTTTATAACATGCCATGTTGGTCTATCATACAAACAAACAAAAAATGAAGAAATTGCAGGTTTTAACCATTGGAGAAAAGGTCAGTTGCCTTGTGAATACTCTCATAAAAGTGAAACATGCAAACAGATGCTGTTTGTCTCAAAAATTCTTACAGTTTCTACGTTGGAAAGTTCCAACTAAAATCTAAATATTGACGTCAATTTTTTATATACACTTCATGTTTCATTTCGTTTTTTTATTACCCTTGCCATTGGTTTCATTGAAGAAGACAGAAAGTCAAAAAAAGAAACGTATGCAAATAAAATTTACAGTTCTGTGATCAACAGACATTCATTACTCATCACGTTTGTTCTTTCTTCCATGCTGGGTGTGGGTGTAGGTGTGGGTGTAGGTGTGGGTGTGGGTGTGGGTGTGGGTGTGGGTGTGGGTGTGGGTGTGGATGTAGGTGTGGGTGTGGATGTAGGTGGGTGTGGGTGTGTGGGTGTGAATGCTGCTGGAAGAAGAACTATACGACACCCATACCCATACCCACCCCCACACCCACCCACACAGCCACCCACATCCACACACCCACCCACAGCCACACCCCACACCCACACCCACAGCCACACTCACACCCATACCCACACCCACACCCACACCCTCGCTCCGGCGTTACAATCGAATAGAGAATAACATATGCGTCATCAAGAATTCAGAAAATTGAAGAGAAAGACAAAGAAGAAAGAAGGCAGAACATTTATCAAATGGAACATATCAGAACAATATGCCTCTTAAGCTATGCGCTTTTGCGTTCGATTGTTCTCCTCTCTCCCCTTCTCATTTGCTTCTCATTTGCCTCTCATGTACTCGCCCCCTCTTCTGTGCAATCCCGTTAATTGTTAATCGTATGTAAGCGTGCGCTCATTTTAAGTACTGCAAAATCCAAACTTATTGTACCTCTAGCATATGCTTATTATTAATCAAAATCACCAGTGTAAGCGCTTTCGAACGGAACATTTTAATAAACGCAAAAAAAAAAGAAAAAATGTATTGTACTTACGGGATACCCTCGATTTGTTTTCATATAAAAATGAAATAAGGAGTACCATTTATCATAAACAACTCCGACTGTTTTATTCAATTGATGAAAAGTGTTTCATTTTGTGAAGTTGTTCGGGATAATATTGACTTTGCAATATATGTTAAAATCTCTTTCGAAAAACATTCTTCACAAAATATTTCAAACACTATATGAAAAACTTCTTTCTATATGGAATAAATCGAGTAAAAATGAAAAGAATTTCGTTTAAACGACGATCACTTGTCTCGATAGTAAATGCTATATATCATCAAAACAAAACAGTTGAAAAAAAATCGAGTGTGGGTAAGAAAGAAAACCATATTAAGATCTACCCTTACTCTCACGCCAGCACCTACTCCCAATGATGGGACAAAGTTTACTACGTTGTTTCTTTTTCTTTGTTGCAAACCAAAAGTGATATCAAATTCAACCCGTTACAATAAGCTCAATTAAATGATTTATATAATCACCGAACATTGTAAATATTTTATCGAAAGGATATTTCGATAATAGGGGTATTTTCTAGAGGTCATTCTACATTGTCATCTACTTTCAAAAGGTTAAAATCTTTTTGCAACTTCAGTTTTCTCTTTCTACTGCTGTTGATCTCAAAGATATTTGGAAACATAAGACACATCCATTTTCCAAGTCATTTTTTTTCATTTACCATGTTTGTATCCTGTAGCTTGCGATCGTTCACTATCTCTTAAGGAGGATTTCAAAATATATTCATTCCTTCGAATTTAATACTAGCGAAAATGATTCTAGAAGTATTCTCCGCTTTGGTTCATTTTGAATACAATGACGATATAAATAAGCTTATTGTGAATGTATGACGCGGTCTAGTTTTCGTCATATCGTTCATTATCGGAAGCTATTTCACAATATGAGCCAATACAGAAGCAAGAGATACGTCCAGATGTAGTTTAAAGTTTAAGACTTGGCTTCATCCGATATGAAGACGATGCATTATCTTTGTACTAAGTAAAATCATACATCAATCTAAGACATATTTATAATTATGAGATGCAAATACAAGATTTGCTGTTTACGCACAAAATCCAATGCGAACGATGGCAGAGCGATTCTTCATCGTCATGATCGGTTTTGTCACTTTAGAATTCGTCTATGGATTTCCAGAAGTCGAGGTCTGCAAAATACCACACTAGATATCAATGTATCATTCTTGTAATGCATTTGTCACGATGATGTCATTTTTGAGTAGCTTAGTGAACTACGCATATATTTCTTCGCGAGATTTAATAATGAATAAACATTTCACAAAAGTCCTACCAAAGATATCTGAAGTAGTTGTCCTTGGTTGTAGTCTTTTTTTAGATTGGAACCATCGTTCAAATATTCAATTACATATTCTATCCGAAAATGTGACAATAACTTGAGACTGCTTGAAAATGGCACCACATCTTACAGGAAGGGAGAAATTCCCATAGAGTGTCATCATCGAACACTTGCTACAGAATAACAAGGTGTTTTCTGGCAGAAAAATGAATTCGCAAAGTCGGTAGAGACGTTTTCGATAAATTCGAATTCAGAAGAAACTTTAAATAAAACTTGATTACGTCTATTTATAATAAGCATTCGAATTTGTTTGAGTCCAGGTGTGGTCAATAACGACCACGATATTGATTCTTGCCTTCGAAGAAGAAGACAAATATATGGATAGGAGTACTAGTGGAATGACTTTTGTCAGTCAAAAAGAAAAGGTTCTCTTCACGATCATTATCTTTTTGGAAAGATAAATCTTCAGTCTTTCTAACTCTTCATCTTGAAAAGACTCTTGAATATATACATGCATTAATGTCTAGTCCTTTCATAAGTGTCGAATTTCTCACCAACAGAATTTCAACACAATCTCTACGGGTTAAGATGTAAAATACAATGACGCTACTTGATTAATAGATTAGAAACTAAGATATATCTGTCACGATCTGAATCAGAGTCAAGAACAACAAGCTGGAATTTAATTTACTTTTCTTGCTCTTTATCTCAATACTTTTGCCGATCGTATTTCACAGAGGCTTTTCGCACTAATCCCAACTTGTAATGAGTATAAGTACTTCTGATTTAAGATTTCATGACAAAATTTATACACGGTAAGAGTAGTCAGCTGAAGTACTACAAAATCTAGTAATTTTTATGCTTCTTTCTGAAAAAAATTAAGTGAACCAAAACTGGTTGTTATGTTTTCGGTGTTTACCCTTACACTACAAGAAAATTTCTAGACAAATTCAGAAGCTCCTCATATATCATTGAACAACTTTGAGATAATTTCGATCATAAAAAATTCTTAAAAAGAAAAAGAAATTTCCAACTATGTTCAGAAAAGGCACAATGTGCAGAAATTTCTACAAACGCAATCGTGAACAAAAAAATTTACGCAAAGTATAAACTGAATTTCAGTAATTACTGCAAAACTTTCAGTAAACGTCATTAGATACAGATATTAAAATTTACATATTTTCGACAAATAGATCACATACACTTGAAAAAAGTAGTGTTTTCATCTCAATAATAAGGAATATCGGCATGTGGATAGGAAAAATGCTTCGTAATTTCTGAATTTACTGAAATTTCCTAGTTATTACTAATATTTTAGCCGGTAGGATCTTCTGTTTCAGATGGAAATACACAGAAATAGCTGGAGAGTGATTGAATAATTTTACAATTCCTTCCGAAATTTCTTATTAATGTTTTAGAAAATTTCCTAATGCGTCTATTTCTTTCATAGATCCTTCGCTGTGTCTGAAATTTTCATAAATTTAAAAATTTACTCTTTTGGGGAATTTGAACACACTTTTCAACAATTCATAAGAATAAAACTAGTAGAGTATTTTTGTTATCAAGCAATTTGATATCTACCAAGTTTAATAATAAACTTTTGCTCTTTTCATTCATACAAAAAAAAGCCAAAACTCATATATCAGCATTCGGTACATTTATTATTGAACTGAGTGAACATTAAAAACTAAAAAAAACGAATTATACACTAGTTCAAACATCTGATATAATTTAAATAATAAAAGATTCAAAACAATCTAATGATCTGGATATCCCCAACAGCATTAGTTATTGGCCATTACCACCACGTAAGCGAAGCACAAGGTGGAGAATACTTTCTTTTTGAATATTATAATCGCTCAATGTGCGACCATCTTCGAGTTATTTGCAGGCAAAGATCAAACGTTGTTGATCAGGTGGAATACCTTCTTTATCTTGTATTTTTTGCTTTAACATTTTCAATGGTATCGCTTGGTTCGACTTCAAGTGTAATAGTTTTGCCGGTAAGAGTTTTTATAAAGATGTGCATAGTTGTTGTTTAATAACAAGTAAAAGAAGAGAAGAAATAACTATGTTTAGCGCAAGCTGAATGAAATAACGATAGAAAAATTGTTGTTTTTATACTGTGCGCCTCGTGGCAATGAATCGGTTTCTTGATAATTCACAACGATGAAGAAATTACGAGATATAAATGATGACGCAGTACAACAAGGGGCAACAATTAGAAAGAGGAAAAGTCGAGAAAAAGGAGAACTGAAAGAACGAAAGGAACAATTTACGTCAATCGATTTAAAATATTGGCCATTATATTTTTTCAGTACAGTAGTGAAAGAATTTTTCTCATGAGATCAAATGTTGAGATTTACCTTTACTCAGAAGTCATACTGAAAACAAATTCAATCGAAATAAGACTATTCGCTTTGACGAAGGATAGCAAATTAGTTTGGACGAATTGAATTCTAATTCAATCAAATTGTTCTGAGCTATTGTGCATATTTTCTGATGAAAATGCTGCAGTGATCTATATCCAGAACATATATGTTCTGCTGTGAAGAAATACGAGAAAAAGGGGTATGATGATCGTCACATACGGATACTGTCATGAACACGAAGCTGACTCTTGTATCTTTTTCAGTACTAGTTTACTTTCGGCACAATGCCTTCACTCTCACACAGTGCTGTGTAGGAATCATATCTCTTCTGTGTTTAAACTAAACTACGTAGTACCTAAATTCTTATTCATAGTGAATCATTTACATCAACAGCAAATTCAACTCATTTATTGAACATTGAAATTGCTTTAGCTCAAAAATTAGAAGCGTTTCTAAGATAAGAATATTATCGATTGGATTATATAGAAAAGTAATTATCCAAAAAAGAAACTCATATCTTTTAATTGATCTGTTGGGCTGAAGTAAAAAAAGAATCATGAGAAAAAAGCATATCAAAGTGAAAAGTATTGTCTTGAATAAAGATAGTAAAAATCATACGTGATATAATGTGTGTATAATTTTATGAGCATAGCTTCCAGAAAATTTAGATCAACTGTGGATTGGCTCTCTATTTTTCTTACGCTATTGTAGCTCCATTTGATTGGTATTCATTGTGAGCATGGCTTGCAGATAACAGATCTGTTCGTGTTCATCACCCAATTTTCTAGTAGCAATATCGAGAACTTTCATGCCATTATCAGCAGCTTCTGAATATCTTTCTAATTTGGCAAGTCTTAAAGTAATGCGATTGCAGGTGGCAACAAGCGATTAGTGATCATCATGTAACGAACGCTTTTTAGTTTCCAAACATTTATTAAGCATGAATACTCACTCTTCTTACTGCCCGTGTTCAATATAGAAGAATTCAATATCACTAAACGATGTGGCAATATCTGGGTGTATATCAGGGAGGCAAGCGAGCCTATATTCTAGTCCTTTTCGATAATGCTCAAGTGCTTCACCAAACTGACCTTGTTCATCGAGAATACCGGCAATATTATTGTGAATATTTCCCAATAATTCTTGATTTGTTTCAGGAGCATTACCTGCAATGGCAAGAGCTTTTCGTAGATGTTCGATAGCAAGATCATTTTTTTTTCAAATTTTGATAAACCAAACCAATATTAGTGTATGAAACAGCAAAAGATGCATCGTCGGGTGGTAAATATGATTGTTTGATGGTCGTACATAGTTGATAGTGTTTGAGTGCTTTTAAATGTTTTGAAAGCTCATCATGGAGAGCTTCTAATAGATTGTGCAATGCTGCTGGATTCGATGAATTTGTTTCTCGTTCTAGAACATCCAAATAGAATTCTTCCACTTTCTCGAAATTCCCCATCTCCCACATTAAGCGACCGATACTTGTGAGATCACATTGGCCTCGTAGCTTGTGTCGTATATAAGTCATCATTTGACAAATTTTCAATTTTATTTATGCAAAAAACACTGACCATCGAGAAAAGATATTCATTGTCTTCTGTAAATTGACTAATTTCCTCGATGTTAGCCAACGGAACGTTAGAATGTTTTAACGAATTAATAGTAACCCGAAAAAGGCTGGCTATTTCACCATTACTAATGTTCGTAGTTCCGACATAAGTAAATGCCACATTTTCGTTCTTACTCGTTGATAGAAAACTCTCAACTGAAAGTAGGCCGCCTTGATTAGTACGCAGCTTATCGAAATGAGAAGTAGACATTTATTGACCTCGATATAATATCACTGGTTCTCTTTCGTTAAGCGTGTTGCAGAATTCCATAAGTTGATTATGCAGATCTCGAATAAACGTGCGTAATACATACAGTGTCGATATATCTTGAGTAAGCAATGCTTTGTTCAACATTCGATAGAGCAAAGTATTCAATGAATACCACCGGACTGGGGTGTGCCGTCTATACTCACATTCAAATATACTTATGAGTTCAAGTTGACGTGGATTATCTGCATAATTTGTTCGACAATAATCGATCATATCTGATCGATTGATATCCGTCATGCCGAGAAAAACTTCTTTCAACAACTGGGCAAACATAATTGTTGCTTCTTGTTTATTGATAGACTCTATTGGTTTGGTGCAATCGACACTGCTACTGGTTGCATCAAAGCCGATCAAATTATGACTAGTTCTTCTCATATGGACCGTTAATTGACGCATTAATTGATCTCGATCAGAGAAATATTTTAATTTTCGATAACATTTTATACCAGATAATTCATATAGTTCAGATCGTGGCATATAGATAGAATATACTTGTGAAAAACCGTAATAAATGGACATAAGATGATCCATATCGTTTATAATAAGAAGTATTTTTTCGATTGTAATATTGCTGATATATTCTTTGCATTTATTTGAATCGGTGAATATCTGAAGATATTTTACTTTTGCGCGTAAATCATCGTTCCATCTTGATGTCTCGTTAGTTTCATCGATGGTATAATCCAGTCGAACAATGATGAAGCTCTCGGTTGTACGTCGTAACATATACTTTTTTTAACACCAGACTTACGGAGTAGTCAAATTTTATGATAGCGTATAGAAATGAAGTCACTCAAATTATGGTCCTTGAACGATTGGTACAAAACTGCATGCCATATCACGATGAATCATTGTAGGTTTCTATCATACTGAACAGATAGGGAATCTCTACTTGGATCAAACAATGTGAGACAATAAAAACATATTTTGATCGCGTAGCAACTTATTTGGTGTTAATCGGCAACAGTTCACATCTCAACAGCTCAAGTCTGTACAAGACACTCTAACAAGGCATAGTGCACATCGAACAAATAATTTCTCAAACGTTGTTTACAATGGCACATGGCGTCTACTGTTTCATTTTCTCCTTCTTTTTTTTCTTTTGGTTGACACTACTTCAATGAAGTTTGAAAAGAAAATAAATGATTGTGCATGTAAAGACATATTGACTAGCATGAATCATAGGTACACATATAGTATTTGCACAACTGAATAGCATAGCATTGATTTGGTTTCTTTCATGGGCGTGTTTTGACGAAGAATACGGAAGCAATCAGAAGACTCGAAAGAGATTTTTCAAAGATCATTTACATAACATAAGATACGAAAGGAATGGGGCAAATGACAGACCCTATTTCTCTTAAATAGAAACATCCTGAAGGAAAAGTTTTTTTTTTTTTACCAAAAGATAGTGCTTTTTTTCTTTCGAATCATATGAAACATATTTTTATAACACACTCGTAAACGAAACGATACACCAGAAAAGAAAAGCACCTATAAAAAGAATTTACATTTTTCTATAAAAGGATTTCACAAAGTGTCGATTCTTATTTCTTCTTCGATAAATCGATTCTAAAAGTAATATTTTTTATCAGCTGATAGGAAATTTTCTTCTCTTTCGAACAATATATGATTCATATTTGTTCTATATGAATAAGTGAAACTTGAGAAGAAAATGCCAAATGTTTTCAACGAGTTTGTAAAATTCGAAACAAGCACCGTTTGACAAGATAATTTTAATTAGTTCATGTAAAAATTATCAATTTATTGCATGAATGTGTTTTTCTTCTTTTCTTGTCTCATTTCATTTATGAAAGTGTGTCGAACATAAATCATCGGTTGTTCGAAAGAAGAGCAAATTTTCTATCACCTGATGAAAAAATATTTGTTTCAAAGCTTGTTTGTCGACGAGTTATAGGAAACAACATGTTGCCCTGCTTTTTTGAATCTCATGAAAAGTGCGGATTCTTTTTTTTGGGGAGTATTTCTTTTTTCTGCTGTGCCGTTTTGTTTATATCTGTGTTATAAAAATATGTCATATACTATTCGAAAGAAGAAGAAAAAACACTATCCTTCGGTAAAAAAACTTGGCTTTAAAAATCGTTCCGTCTCAGAGAAATACAGCCTGACATCTGTTCCATTACTTTTGTGCTATACATTATTTTCGCAAAAAACGCATCGTTCACTTTACCATTGGTTTCATGTAATGACTCTTTCAGAGCAGAAAACTAGAATAACGTGTTTTATCGTCGGATGGAACTGAATCTATTAATCCATTGAAAAATATTCACTTAAAAGCATCTATGTGTTTGGCAGTTACTTGCAATATTTACAAGACAAAAGC